GTTTTAAAGCATAGCAAAATGTTCAAGAATATAAATTAAAAGTACTATTCAATAAAGATCCCAGTTCTTGCAGATTAAATGGTAATCTCTAACTCTTAATTTCTCCTGCCTGGGGAGCTTTGATAAAAATAAATGATGTTGTGCTGCCCATGCTTATCAGACATAACCATACGTTTCCAAGGAGAACATCCATCAGGCACCCCTACTGCCTGTGGGGGTTATATTCAATGTAGTCTTAATTAACCCTACATTTAATTTTGGTAAGTTCTTTGGGATCCTTATTTCTGCCCAACTTGGATATGTGAAACTGTTAGTATTTCAGTATCTATCACAAGCAGCATCTAGAGGAACTTTTGCTTCCAATGATCTCTACAGCCCCTTTGTTATCTCCATTGGACAGTATATTGGTGACAGAGTCTTATCTATCTCACCTTGGTTTCTTATGAGAAGCAAACATGCATTCTAATCATATAAGATGCAGGGGTTTAAGTCTGAATTTAAATAGTGCAAGGTAAATCAGGAATTGGACATTTTACAATTAAGTTCATCTCTATATACTAATATATTCAAATCTAAGTTGGGATGTCTACAAGATGACTCACTGCAGGTTATAGATTAGCCCTCATAAACACTTCTGGAGTATCACAGACAGCCATTGAGAGAGGGTGATCTTTGTATATTCAAAGAGAAATTTATAAATTTAACCAAGCATGCTACTAGGAAGAAGAAATCTGTACTTTGTTGGTCTCAACAACTCATTCAGGAGTAGAGTTAATCATAAGGAAAATGTTCCCTCCACTCTTTCCTGTCATCTTCAACAACTCTTGGTTGCAAAAAAGAAAAATTCAGATGGAGTCAAGAAAAAAATGAAGATCCTATTCCAGTCATATAGCAATATGATTTACTGTACTGTAAAGAAGAGTATGCCTCTGGTCTTACTTAGTTGAAAATATATAAGAGAAAGAAGCCAGTCTGGCTTCAGACAGTACTAAAAACCCAACAACCTATTAATCACTTTTATACAAACCATCTCATGTGAGAAACTTCACAATAACATTGAGGTTCAATCCTTCTGTTTTTGTCTCCTGACAAAGCACAGTGAAGACCTACTTTGGTATTTTTCCTTTCACTATATTCCACTCGTGATTGAAAGCAAGTAATTTATAATGAATGATGCCTTCAAGGTAGAGTGAGATTGCTACCTTACTTTACAGCTGGTAATGGAAAAACTGCAGACATGGTGGGTAATAACTTACCTCATTAATTTTCTCAGACATGTTTTAGGCAATAAACATCTGATCTGAACCGTTGGGTGTACAAAAGCACCTTGGCCATCAGTGGAACATGTCTCTCCCAGAATACCCCATCTCTGGATATTTTTCCTATTTTTTAGTCTAGTGAAATAGGACATTCTGAGTATGGTTTTGCCTTCTATGGGATAATATATGTATGCCACTTTACACTTATATTCATCGTGGAATTACATATAATGAGAAAAATGCATCTGTGTGGTTTGTGAATGGAATACAAAGGTAATTTCAGAACATTTGTCTGTAATTGGAGGGCTTCTGCCTATGAAGCTACAAAGACTGAGTGACCTTGCCAACTCTTATTTTGACAAAGTAACTAAAGTGCTTATATTCAGCCACTGTCAATATGTGAAAGCTTGCTCTGTTGGGTGATTCAGAGAATAACAATAATGATGATAATGACAATGATGATCATAATGAAAGTCAGAGTATTTTTGGAAAACAATATTCTGCTTACTCAAAGCTAACAAAACAGGGACACCAGGGGATTCTGCTGTGCATTGAAACTGCCTACAGAGTCCCTATGCCTATTACCCTTTTTAGTCAACCCTGCTATGATTAAGTTCCCTCACACCTCATTCCAATATTAATAGAGCTCAGAATATTTATTTTTATCATAAACAAAACAAAGCAACCAAGACTTTCTCACTATTAATGGATTTTCTCTTCAGCGAGATAATATTATCAAGGTACCATTATCAGGGTACCTTGAAGGTTGGTTTTCCTATCACAGCACACTAGCTTCCAAGGGTTTCCCAAGGGTGCTTCCTCTCTCCTTAGAGCCATAACCCAGAGGGGTCCACTTGAAAAACTGAGAAGACAATTTTATGTTCATAGCAGGAAATGAGATGTATTCAGCTTACAATAAGAAACCTCAATTCAACACTGAACATCAAACTCCAAAAGCAGGAAATAATTTGCACTTTCTCAGATTTAGTAGGAAGGTGTCTGTGCCTCACACAAAGAGCTCAAAGATGTTGTCAAATTAATTTCAGGGGAGGGACTTCTACATCCTTCTTTTATCTACATTCTGTCTATATTTTTCTATATTCTATATTCTTCCCTCAATCCTGCTAACTCTTCTTAGAGGAATATATTTTCAGTAATATTTCAGTATAAGATAATAAAATTGAGAACACGGCAATGATTCAAGCTACAAAATTGAATAGTACCACATACAAAGTCTTAAACATTCTCATGATATCACAAACGGTGGCACGCTTTTTCTTCTTTTTCATTTATCTCATAAAGACTACAACATCAAAAACAAATAAATCCAAAATCTCTTATTATTTCCGGTGTACCTGACAAATTTATTTCTATTCCATTGACCATTTATTTGTACAACAGCTATTCCCCCGAAACTATCAAATTACCGTTTGGTGTTACAAATGTGTGATGTTCATGTTTTTGTTCTTCTTGCTACTTTTAACAAGGGAGACAAAGAGTTAGAGGCTTGGACAGTTGCTGACAAAACAAGCCATCAGCAAAGGAATACAAATGACTATGATTAAATGGAAAATGTGTTGACTAACTTTGTTTCAGAGGAATAAAGAAGTATGTGAGATAGATAGCAGACTACTAAGGTTGTGTATGTAGTTGTGGGAAGAAAGAACAGAGTTCAGAGTTAAGTACTGTCCTTGGGGAAGCAATAGGGAGGTGGAGAAGTAGGCCTAGTTGGATAGTGCACTCAAGTTGAGTTTGTGTGAAGTGGCTAGAGTTAAATTGACAAGTATATTTGGGCTAATTTGTTTAGGAACTTAAATTCCAAGTCATGAGACATATTTCATTTCTATTCTCAGTGCATTTAACGGAAGCAAGGAGGAAGGTAGGACAGTATGTTAGAGAAAAAGGAAGGAAAAAATATTTGGAGGGTTCTTTGTTTAAATTAGATAGGAAATCTATTGGTAAAAACCAAGTATAGACGTTTTCTTTGTGATAGAACATCCAAGTATGTGGTGGGTCCCAGAGAAGACAGAAGAGAACGTGCAGTGTTTTCCAAACCAACCTTCTCATGAGCATCACATTCTGTAGATCGCTGATCCAGCCCAGTTTCCTCACTACCCATCTGCAGGAAATGAGCTCCAAAAGGGCAAATGTGTGCCTGAGTCCAGAACTGGAATCTGCCTCCTGGCTGCCAGGCAAGGGCTGTTTCCACTCTCCCAACATGCCAGTTAATTAATAGTGCACATGCCTGGCTGTCTAGAAGAGACCAGTAGTGATAAATGGAAAAGTCAGTTACAGACCGATTGTTCAAAAAAGAAAGTAATCTGAATGGGCAGGAATAATGGGACAGAAGTAATTCTTCATAGTGCTGTTTAAAGAAGAGTTACAGATATGCTTTGGTTTTCAGCTTCTCTGTGAATATAATCTCCTTTTAACCTTTCTCTAGCACTAAACTGTCTTTAGGACTTGTGGTTGGATGAGGTTTTAGGGAAGCATGCATTTTGCAATATGTAGAGAACCAGTTCTAAAGTTAATGGAAATTCAGCATAGTAATGGGTTTTCTACCCTTCCTACTGAGATACCAATGATGAGTGTGTGGCCTCAATAGCTGACCTGGAGTAATGTACTGTAAGATTTATTTCCTGCTCCTCTGCCCCTTATTTTAATGAAAGCTTAATTATTACATGGCAGGATACACACACAAAAGTAGTACAATATAGTATAAACAGAGCTATCCTCTGATTTATGACATAAGATTCCTCTTATGTTATTGACATTTAATTTAATTTTAACAATGTCATATAAAATTGCATACATTTTTGATACTTTATTTACTTAAATGCTTACAGTTTTTAAGAGGAATGAACATGGATGTAACCTTGGTAAAATTGCTGAGAAAATATATACTGTAAAATATTAGAAAATGATTATACACATTATAAATCAAATATAAACTCTATAAATAGAAAATATTGGGAGTAGGTATTTAGCCTAGTGGTTTTAACATGAGTAAGAGTCTTGTGTCCCACTTTGGAGTACTTGGGTTCCATTCCCAGCTCTGGCTCCTGATTCCAGCTTCTGCTAATGTAGTCCTTGGGAGGCCGCTGTGATGGTTCAAGTGACTGAATTCTTACCACCCACATGGGAGACCTAGAATTAATCCCTATTTAGCTTTATCCCCAGTCCAAACTCTACCTCAGGCATTGCAGGCAGTTGCAGAATGAACCAGAGAACTGGTACTCTCTACTTCTCTTTCTCTCTATCTGCCTCTCAAATGAATAAAATAAATCAGTGAAAAATTTTGATTAAAAAAAAAGAAACCTAGAAAAAAAGAAAAGCCAGAGTACTAAAAAACAGTTCAGTGGATATAGTCTCTGTAAATTACTAAATTGCAATATGTAAGAGAGAATAAGGTGAAAATGCATGTTTTAAATGTAAGCACTGCCAGGAACACACTTTTGATGGTTAGATCATTAAATCATTTGTTTCATCTGAAAAGTAAATGCTTGCCTTTATAGTGAAAAATATACATAAATTAATATTTTATTGATACTAGATTAAGACATGCTAGAATGGTATGTTATGCCAGCTGTAATTGATTAAATTTTAAATAAATTGTACCAAAGATTGTTGTCGAAAAACTTTTACATCATGGAACTTTAATTTGGTCAGTTTTTGTTGTGTTCAAAAGTTGGGCAGAATTGCATATCTTACAAATGTTTATTTGTTTTTATTTATTTGAAGGGTCGAAATAGAGAGGGAGAAAGAATCTATCTGCTGATTTACTCTCCAGATGCCTACAACAGCCAGTGTTGGGCCAGGGTAAGTTCAGGTCTCCCATGTATGTAGCAGGGACATCCGTACTTGAGCCATCATCTACTTCCTCCCATATTGTGCATTAGCAGGAAGCTGGGACAGAAGCAGAGGCTGGACTTGCTCCCAGTCACACCTATATGGAATGCCAGAGTCCCAAGCATGACTTAACCACTGGGCTGCAACACCTGCCCCAGATGGAGCCATCCTTTAACACTATAGCTCATCAGCAATGGGAAAATACAGAGAATTTTAAGCACAAAGTGATGTGGAGTACACTGGGCTTGAGGAAAGTTAGCCTGACAAGCTGGCAAAGTTGTGCAAGAGTCCATTCGATTCTCCCTGGACTGAAACTACCCTCCTTAGCCAATTCTCAATATTTTCTTATCATTCTTATCAGCATTCCTATCCTTTGGTCTTATTCTACCTAAATGTTCTTTTTCCCCAGTTTTATTGGGGAGTGGCTATTGGTGTATCTATATTTTAAAAACTTCAGGAAGAAACTGCTGATTTTTTTCATCCCTGCCCCTGACTTTTCCAAATGTATGAATGTGGAGTTTAAAACCACTCTTCTGCTCTCCCTGATAGTAACTGCATTCCCCATTGCTGGCACTATCTCAGCACAGTAGAGAATATACAAGTTGCCAGCTCTTTCTGTTCTTTCTCATATTCTGTCTTTGATTACTGCTTCTCTAAATAATATTAAGACATGTTCAGGTTTAGGTTTTAGTGTCAGTTTATCACAAAAGAAGTCCTATTGCTTGTTACTGGTTCAAGCTGCACTACTATTGAAGTAGGCAGGCATAAAGGTTAAAATTAATCAGATTTGTGAACTGGAAGACCATGCCTTTGCCACGTCCCTGTGTGGCCTCATTCCCCTACCTGGCCACACCTGGGTGCCCACCAGCCAATCAGGTTAATTAACCACTCCCCTTTGGAAGTGGGTTAAAAGCCGGGCCATGCCAGCTCTTCTTACCTAGCCTCTTGTCAGGAGGGGGCTTCCTGTAGCCCCGTGCCTCCAGGGCGCATGGCCTGAGGGCCATGTGCTCTAGGCTTCCTGGCCCAGATACAGGCCTAGATGCTCTTCTACGTGGCTGGTTCCTGGTGCTCGTTATGAACCCCTATTCACCCCTCTGTCTCTTAAAGAAAGCTCTCACTCTCCTATGCATCTTTCTCACTAAATAAAAGCTTAAAACGTACCATGCTGCCTTGTTTATCTGTGCCGGTATTTTGCATTCTTCTCTAAATATTAGGCAAGAACCCTCTTGGGATTATTAATATCGGGGATTTAGTAATAAGCCCGTGGTGAAATCATATGGCACCCCAAATTCCAGTAATACATGTGACACCCTGGATAGCATTTCTAGGGAACATTAAGGGGCCACATTTTAGTGTAAATTTTAGGGGGGCTTGTCTGATTTCACTATGGAGGCCTATTCGTGTATAAAAATTATTATTATCCTGATAAATGAGAAGGCTTTAGTGTATCCATATGCTATTGCATCACTGGGAAAAATTAACACAAAGAATACATTTAGGTATCAAGCCTTTGAAAGTTTTCCAGATTAAGGAATCTCCAGTTTCCTACCTCTCAATTGAAAGACAGAAAATACTTTTAATTTAAGCTTTTAAGTTTCTTTTCAATTCCCTGGGCAGAGATAGAGAGAAAAGAAAAAGCGAAGCTTTCAAGGAAATCTGTATCTCTTTTGCATAAGATGAACCAACCAGCGATAATAAACTATAGGAGCTTTACAAGTTAGCTGATTCAAGACATATCAACTTACCCTAAATGACAATAAACTCCCCTGAAACGTTTAAATAATATCTGTTAACATAACAACAAAACTGACTAAATAAAGGAGACTTCCATATGTTAGTCATACCAGTTCATAATCCTTTTCTACCTAGGATGTATAGGTAAGTAAACTACTATTACAGTTTTGTGATTCCTTCCTTCTCTTTTAGTGTACCTCCTCCTTCCATTCTTCTCTCCTTCCTTCTTTCTTTTTCTTTTATCTCTCTCTCTCTTTTAACATTAAATATTAAAGATTTGCTAAGGAGCAATCTCCCCACAAGGAATAGTGAAATAAGTCAGAATACAGATTTGGAGATATGTAGTTATATAGTTTTACAAAACAATATTCAATCTTAAAATATCCCCCAAAATAATTGATTTTCACATCCTGCCACCTAAGAAAATAAACTCTACATTCAGGGTTAGTTCTATCTAGTCTAAAGAGTATTTCAGTTGTGGTTGCTTTCTGTCTAGTGAAAAAAAATCTGCCCCTAAATCTGTGTATATGACATATATGAAACTTATATAACTTAAATAAAATTAACAAAATAAAAATATCATCAATGTATAGTTATTTTGTTATGCATTTTCCCATATTTTTGGTAACCAATCAAAAGTTTAATTTTTCAACTGCTTAATAAAAGGAAGAACTGAAAGAGTTAACTCACTATTCTTTTGTATATGTGTTTTCAAATGCTGTAAAGCTGCTTAAAATACTATAAAGCATTGTATTTACAAAATTTTAAGAACTTTCTAATTGCTAATAATCAAGCTACCACTTAGTAATAATCATATTCTCTATAAAATCCATTTTAGACCTAGGGAATCAGCAAATGTATTATTTAAACCATCTAATGATGTAACATTTATAAAGGGTCAGGGTCTATTAAAGCAATATTTCTCATTCACCACAAAGTTTGAAAGCTGTGGATTTGAAATATTCTTCTCAGCAAAGAAGAATTAAAAAGAAATCGTTTTGTTTCAAAAATGACTTTGCTGTTGGGTGGAATTTAAAACATGATTTGAATATGGTTGGAGACCTCAGGAAATAGAGAAAAATCTAGTGTTGGCTTTTAATCAGTAAGTAATTCACACTTCAGACACCTTCTTTGCTGATCCCCGGTGGACTGGACATCTTTGAACAAAGATTCCTAAGGGCTCATTAGAGCTTTATCTTTCTGAATGTGAACTTGTTTCCCAAATAGGAGAAAAAGCACAGGAGGAACACTGGGGAATATGTGGTAGGCAGTGAGTTGCCCAATGGATCAAAGACATTAAGTGGAGTGGATGGGTACATGGAAAAGTGCATTATACATACAGATAAAAACTGAAGCATTAGATACAATGGGGGACAGTATGTGTGACCTAGAGTATGCTAGCATAGTAGAGGTTTTTCCACATATTCTCTGGTAAAAACATTAGGTAGTCTAATAAAAAAATTTCAGTTGTCATTGAATATACAAAAATGAACAGACTAGGTAGCAAAGTCAACTTGAAATTTTGAAAAAGAAAGAAATTTTATTGTATACCCTCTGAGACTTGGTGACATGATTCATGTCCGTAGTAAGACAATGAAAATATATCACCTCTTCTAAAGATAAATTTTGGCAGAGGGAGATTTTATTAAGAGTAGCAGAGTCTGACACCTCTATGTCATACCCACATGAGAAACCGGCCATTTGGCCAAAAGAATCTAAGGTTTTATTCCTAGTGATTTTTTCCATGTTTCTCAGTTAGTTGATGCCCCAGGCAAGAGCAGACAGAGAGTATATCCCAAATATTTTGTCACTATCTACATGATAATAAACTCCTTAGTCTCCTCCCACTTGGTCTCTCACCAATGCTGCTTTTTCAGCATCTATATGTAGAAAAACTTCACAGTTTTTCTGAAAAGTCATCTTTAATATTCTAAACTGTCCACGCAAAACTCATTTATTCAATCTAAGTCTCAGAAATTCTGAAAATATGTAGTACATAGTGTAAAAGATTCTCTTATATCACCTATGGCCTTATTTGCTGAATGTGTATGAGGAAAAAGAAATGAGAAGGGAAGTGGGCATTTGGGACAACCATTAAGAAGTGTTTGGGACGCCTGCATCCCATATCAGAGTGCCAAATTTAAGTCCTGACTCCTCCACTTGCAACCCAGCTTCCTCCTAATGTTTACCCTGGTGGGTGTGAGTGATGTTTCCAGTAACTGGGTCCCTGCAACCCACCTGGAAAACCTGGAATTCTGGGCTCCAGGCTTTGGCTTGGAGGCTGTTGCAGGCATTTGTGGAGTGAACCAATAGATGGAAGATCTCATCCTGTCTGTCTCTGTCTCTGTCTCTGCCTTTCAAATAAAAATGAAAAGAAACTAAATTTTTTAAAAAAGAGTGGGAAGGGAATTTGATTAATCAAGTGTGTTTAAAAGAAATTTCCCAATTCAGTGACATGGAAATAAAAGGATAAATAAGAGCCAAATTGAATATAGTAGTATTTTATGTTGTCTAAAACAATTGAGGTAATAAAAACGCCTAGTAGAATATTTTCTGTAGCAGAAACTTAACAAATTGTAGTTGTCTACCCTCACTTTCCCTCTCCAGATATAGGTTCCAAAGTTTGAACAGACCAAGTAGCTTTAACTGTACTGGAAAAATAAGGAAAAGCATGAACTTGTTAAAATTTGAATAAAGTTATTATCTCATAGAAGAAAAAAAGTAAGGAAAAAATTGTGTATATATTATTTTGTTTTTTAAAGATACAGGAACTTGAGTAAGAGTGACAAAGTTAATGAGAATCTCATAATAATGAGAAAAGTTAACATTAGATGTGGTTGAGTTTGTGAATAATGTAACAGAGTGGAAGTGTGTGACTTTGGAGTTGAGAAGACCTTGGGAATTTACTTAATGTGTCTTAGTTTTAGTTTCTTCATCGATAAAATATGTGAATTTTCAAAGCCACTGTAAAGATTAAGTGAGATACCATTGAGAAAATCTGGCTACACAGAGTATATGGCAATGGCGCAATTCACTTTATTTTTCCTTAAGGTTAAGAAAAGACATTTCAAATTGGTTAAATAAGAATTAATTTGGACACATCATAAGAGAGTTTGGAATAGACTGTGGTTTATAGAAGAGATTTGAGAAAACGACACTGGGAGTACATAATTTTAAATGATCTGTGAGGGAAAAAAATGTATTCAAAGAAATCCTACAGTTGCTCAGAGGGCTAT